GACAACGTGAGTGCTCTGTATGCATGCAGTCTCCTGTACCTCATCAGTAGTTTATTTTTTGCAAATTCATTTTTGAAAACCACTCTTATAAAGTCCATCAGCCACACAATCCAATATTGTCTCAGTGCTGCATTGCCCCACAAAAAAGTTAGCACAGGCCCACCACATCATCCCTGTTTCTCCTGTTTCAGTTTTTTTAAGCTGAGCAGCTGCCAAGTCAACAACTCATCGATTTCTGGTTGGGAAGGTAATCTCACACGTAAGGCTATGAATGACGCACACACACACACTCACTCTGAACTAGTGCTTGGTCTTGGATAGACACAATCTCTGCAGTGCTGTATAAACAAATGTCATCTTCATTACCTCAGTTGGCTCCACGTTACTGAAATGGAGCGAGCTGAATGCATTGCAGGTGCGCTCTGAACAGAGCAAAAGGCATTTGAAGAGTTTCAGCACAGCCTGGCGGGTAAGCTCTGAAAATACACCAGGTTCACCCCAAGTACTCCATGGAGTATTGATGTGTGCGAGCTCTTGTCTCAGCTAACTGCCAGGCAAGGTCAGGCTATCATGAGGTTTCTCCATCTCCAAACCAAAAAAATTTGATACTGAGTGCTAAAATTGGCCCAAAGTAAATTCCTTTTTATTTTTTCCTCTGCATGTTAGACAGTCACACTTATGACTACATTATTACTGCCAGCCACGGTGGTGTGCAGCTGTGGGATTTGAGACAACCCAGCTGTAAATAGCTATATGCCCATTCCTCTAAAAAAGGTTTATTGTGTTAATTTCAAAAATTCCGTAACATTGTGCATTGCTGATGCTGACAATCCTGACTCTGAGGACATAACTATTTAATAAAACCCTGTTTTTCACTAAGGTTAGAACAATAAGACTAATATTTTACAATAACTTGCACTAAGTATCCTTCCTAAACAATTATTTGTTTAGAAAGGAGATCTTTTAGTACAAACTTGCTTAGTACTTTTGTCGTCATCTTTTCATTTGCATTGAAAAGGTTGACTTATCAAGCTTTTGTATAAAACTTTATTTCTACATTGCTGTACCTTTAAAATTATTGGATTCTGTTCTTCTGAAGATGACTTACGTTTTTCCCGAAGTAGAGCTGATGCATATAGAAATGTGCTGTACTCTGTAACTGAAACGTTCCTTTTTGTCTATTTTGGTTTTCCCTAGTCTAAAACACAGCGCGCTGGTTCTTGGCAAACAGTTGCTCTATGTATGGAAAAATAACTGTGGTACAGCTGCGTAGAGCCCTCGGGGAATTTCTGATATTCTTTTAGAGGCAATCTGGAGAACGTACAACGTCAAAGAAACTGGGCCTTTACAAGAGCAAGATGCCTTGTCGAAGAGATAAGCACTGCTACTGGAGAGTTTTTCAGAGGAAAGTTAAATAAAGGATATAATTTCCAGCTTAATGAGACACCTGTCTTGAGCCACTATTCTTACTTTCTTTGCCATCTCACACGAACAAACGGCTCGAAGTCTTTTACTTCCCTTTGTAGCTCCTAGCTTCAACGCTGCCATGTGCCACAGACTCGCTATCCGGCTCTGCTCGTGCCTCTCATACAAGATTTAACTGAGGTTTCCTGCTTTGCAGCAATGCAAAGCACCACTGCTCGCTTCACTCCTCTGGCAAATTTTGCCCCCCTCCAGGTGATGTCCTAAGGGTAGTAGTGAGAGGTGGTGCAGGGGCAGGTGGGGACCCTCCTGGCCTGGCCCAGCCCCTCGGGCCCCTGCATGCGGCCACCAGCTCCTTCCCAGTAGATCAGTTTGGAGCAAGGGGAAGAAAGTGCTCCCTTCCCCATCAGCCAGCTCACAAGTGGAGAGGGTGAGTTCATGGACACCGGCTGCGTGCGCGGGTGGGAAAAGGAGCAGGCACAAGCGTAACCCGCGAGAGCCCAAATGCAGCAGTGGAAGCTGGGGTGTGGGAAAGCAACAGGGCTTTTGTCATCTCCTGGAACGGCATCCCCGACTGCCACGGCTCAGCGCACTGGCCGTTTTTTGTGTTGTGCATCATTTACCTCAAGAATCACAATGTGGCTGATATTCATAATGTACAGTCTCTGAAAAAGATTTTAATATAACTGCCTTATTACAGAGCACAAGAAACATACAAAAATCTAAACAAAAGCAAGCACACAGTTCATTCCCCACTGCAGTTACCTGACCAAGCGGAATCTTGTGGAGACCCTGGCATCCTTCCTCTCCCCCCATCTGCCCACACTGGATTCCAGTAACATGGCACTGTCACTTCTCCACACCCACCTTTCTATCAGCTTCAACTCAGCAAGTTGTGGGACAAATCCAGTCCTTCGGTCACATAAGCCCTCGATCACCCTTGTTGGTTGCTCAAAGTCCTCTCCCAGCTGATGTGTTGCTTAGTTATTTTCTATCCTGGACTTCAGATTACAAAACACTTTCAAACAACAGCTCACTCCTAGCTTGAGGCAGTGGTTAGCGGTCTTTGTGCAGCTGAGCTCTACTTGAGAAAATAAACGTTTTGCATCTTACTCTGCATGTTTGTTTCTCAGCTTTTAGGCTATGCCAAGTCTCCAGCCTGCTACAATGTTGTTCTTGCCCTAACAAAGTCAGCATAGTTTCCTAGCAGAGCTTATTAGCTTGGGCTTCATGCCTCACCTGTAATATGCATCACTGTGGTCCTGGGAGACACAAAATTAAGCCTACAGGTGAATAAGCCAAGTGACTATGGAGCATCCAGCATAATGACCTCCTTCTACAAGCTCTGTGTCACCACCTCATGGATTTTTGAAATTCAAATGACAATAGAGAAGGCAAAAAACGTCCCTGGTACATACATAGAGAATTCGTAGAAGCAATCAGAACTTCTAAGCTGTGTTAAGACCAGGCTCCCTCAATTGTCACACTGGGATTTAATGAGATTTAATTGTACAAAGTGTTATTTATTTTGAAAATATTTAAAAGCCAAGGGCTCAATTTATCCCCTTGTGACTATAAGGAACTTACTTACTCCAAAAGTGGTTTACACTAGGCACGTGAGGGCAGTTTTAATGTAAGGCTCTGTTTCTCTGATTAGGCTAATAATGAAGACAGGCATGAGGCAAAATTTAACATAGTTCAGGACTTTTCTTTCAAAATGCACGCACAAATCAAGTGTTAACCTGGCATGCATTTTTTTACAAATGTGCAGTCAAAAGATCATGGAAATCATTCTAGAAAACAATTTAAGCAAAACAAAATCTTCCAGAATTTTTACAGGTCAGGTTCTGCAGGAGCTTAAAAAGCTGCAGAACCTTTTTTCAAGGAATTGAAGTGTATGAGCGCCCTCAGATTTACACAAAAATGAAAATTTGGGCCTAATTTTTGATTTGGGAAACATTTGCAGTTATTCCTAAAAGCGTGACTAGTCTCTGTCTCCACACTCTTACAATAGGTAGCTGCACTGACCTCTTTATTTTACCACCTGAACAAGCTAGAGAGGCTTCACAGTGGCCAAATCTTAGAAGAAGAAAAAGAAATTAATTGTTCTCTGTCATCCAATGAGCTGAGTTGATCTGCATCCAAGGCTCTTTATCCTTTTGATCTTCAAAGCGATGCGAAATTTGCAATTTTGACATGTTCCTTTAAAAACAGCCAACAGGCTTTGGACCTACAATTGTTTTAGATTATCTTCACATTTAGTCTGAGTTTTTTCTCCAAAGGTGACCCCCCTCAGCTGTGTTAGTTTATCACCTAGCACAACTTCAGCTGAAAAGGCAGTTCAGCTGAGAGTCAAGGGGAATCCCACTGCCTCTGTGACCCTTTGCTGCAACTTATTCAAGCAAGACTGCCAGGAAGCGCTTGCCTGAGCTGATAATTGTGAATTAAATATTTGATCTAGAGTAACAGAAAAATTAAATTAATGTTTTAACCAAGTGTGACTGTACATGTTGTTTACACGGCTCTCTAAGTATTTTCAATTATGTTTTGTAAAGAGAGATTAGGAATTTGCAGTGATACACTAGGACCACTGAATCTGTTAAGTGACTGCTCCTTTAATGACTTCAAGCAAAAGAAAAATGAAGTTTCCTTCCTTTGTAATGAGAGAATCATGACACTTACCTGGGATCAGACACAGTTTTATAAGATTTAAATGGTGTGTTTTCCTACTGAAATTTGTAAATTTTATCCATGTATGGGATAGCACAAGATTTTGCTCATTTAGAAGAAAATGATCAGTTTGCAGAGTCCAATAGAACAAAATAATTTCCACCTTGTCAACTATTAATTATCTTTTTTATTTGTCCTAAAACCGGTAGCCTAAAATCCAGCAAAAAACAGTAAAAATATCACATCTGTAACATACAAAACCTCGTAATGAAAAAAAAAAATCCTCTACAATTAAAATCTACAAGGTTTGGAGGAAAAGCATCTAAGTATTTTCCAATTCTGAAAACTAGTCAGATGCATTCATGGAAGCAGTCACTTTAAATAACAGTAAGCATAAGAAATAGATGTGCAAGCGCGCAGTATTTTAAGCTCTAAGAGTAAACAGAATGTGTTTTCTATCAGAATCGTTGCAATCATTCAAATGCCAAGCTCCATACTCTTCTTTGAGTCTAACATTGAAATCTCAGATTAATATATGTGGAGCAACAAGGACACCTTGAGGCAAGTTAGAAAAATGCAAAAATTTCTATTCCACATTGATATGGGAGGACTTACAGATTCTCCGTAAGTCTGAATTCCTTGGAATTGCCACATGATGCAAATGATAAGCTCTTAAAACTGTTTGGCAAAGTCCCACAAGTTCCACAGAGTATTGTTAAAGCAGTGCTTGGTCAGCACTCCTGAAATGCTGGAAAATATTCTTACCAATTAGGTTAAGTTACTTGCTAGTAGGATTGAAGACAGACCTGTTTTTGCAACACACTAATCTTGTTGTTCTGAGGTGCTTTTCTCCTTGTTACAGAAGTCAAAAAATTTTGTTCCCACAGCTCAGCATAGTATTATGCTGCACAAATTTTTAAAAGTATAAAAATAGTGAAAAGGTTTCTGAAGAAGTACGGAATGTAAATCTACACAAAGATTAAACTTTCACAGTTCTTTGTCACTCTCTGTGAGCTTCAAGTATTCCTTTAAATTTGTACCTTTGAAAAACCAATATAACAGTAAATGTTTTCCAAAAAAAAGTGGGAAGAGGAAGAAATCTTATACTTCTTATTTTGTTTAGAAGTTTTTGCATATGAAAAAGCACTTTTTTTTAGTATAGCCTCTAAGTTAGAACTGGAGTTGTGGGGCCATTTGTAGAGCTTTCTGTTCCCTTAGTGCTATCTGCAGCCTTAGAACCATCACATACATCAGAAAACTCATTTTCCTCTGGCGTTGTTGGGGTAAGATCAATAGTGATCAAATCAGTCTCCTGATCTGTTTTTTCTACTTCACTGCAAAATTCAACTTTATCTTCCTGCTGGCTGTTCTTCTTTATCTGTCCATTCTGTGCAGGGTAGGTACTAGCAATGGTGTCATACAGAAATTGGTAATGTTCCTTAAATATAAAGAGAAGAAGTTAGTATGAATGGAATGCTCAGAGCCCAACAATAAACCCATATTTTCTCTGTTTTCTTAAATTTTAGAAATGTAACATGTAGTTGAACACGCAAGACTGCATATGAAGCAGATTCTACAGTTTTTGGCATACAGAGTATAGCTTCTATGGTTTATTCTGTTTTCATGTTTATGTAATGTCTCTGTAACTGCCTGCATCAGACGTTCCAAGTTGAGTCACTCAGTACCCTCTTGGCTCACAAAATCCCAAAAATATGTTTTTAGAGTACCTAAGTTGTAAACAACACGGATTTTAAGGAGTCTAGGAAAGTTATCTAATAACCTGCCCCATATCAATGACACCTAGGTCTGGTTTGTTAGTAAATGCACAGTGTATGCCACGAAGACACAATTCCTCTGGAATGATTTAAACAAAACAAGTCGATGGCTGCTAGCCTGTGAAATGGAGTTAGCCTCCCAACTCTGCAGAAGTTAAGGGACACTGTGCATGTACATCCTCGAAGCAACTGCAGAAACATCAATTTATGCAATTTGTAATTTTATAATATGCACCCTTCCACAAAGGTGTTACAGAATTGCAGCTCTGGACATCTCACAGACTCCTTCATTCTTATCAGTAACGGCCAATTCCCGAGTAGTGGTGAGTGGCTGTGAATGTCCTGATTAGAATTAGTGCTCCCTATGCAGAAATGATGCATAAGGTTACGAGGGTATTCATGACCCTGATAAGTACTCTCATAATTTTTTCTGGTAATTCATAAGATTTACTTACAAAGGTGGAGACCACTCCCAGCCTGGTGCGACGAAGACCTTTTACTACTTGGAAAACATCTATTACTTCTTCTATTTCTGCACTTTCCAAGAGGGTCATTAAAGCACAAAATACACCAGTCTGCTGTGATCCGTCACTAGAAGATGATGTAAAATATACATGTAAATTTAAAATGTAAAATCAGCAAGTCCTCTGACTAAATATTAGATTTATTTCAAAGACTACAGAATGAATTACATTTCCGAAACATCTTCTACTGGACTGAAATTGTTACAATTAAGAATATCTGTAGGACACACACAAGACAGTTTATCTAGAGGCTACCTGGATCTCATGTGGCCCCTTAAGGGGTACAAGACAAATTAGAAGCTTCAGACTTACAGTCTCAACAACTGTTAGCAGTATTACCAGTATTACCCTCTGTTTTAGATGGTGTGCAAGGCTATTCCTGGAAACGGTCCTAAAAAATGGGCTTATGTACTGGAGTGAAAGATGAACCTAAAAGCTCTGCTTGATCCTCATCAGTAGTATGCTGCAAGAGCACTCTGACCTAGCATTTCACCTCAAAATATGTATACCAGCCAAGAGCAGCTAGCTCTAACCACCTACTCCATGCCCATGCTTTTGCCGAAGTGTGCTCACTTTTCAGCACTACAATCAAAAAGGTCAAGCCTGAGCAATTCAATGAATCTTCTAGGGAGAGCTGAGTCTCCAGACACAGGGAAAGGCTTGTGGGAAAAGGTAGGCATCCCAAAATTGTGGTTCCTACGTATATCCAGAACTTAGAACTAGGTTAAGCTATATGCTGAATTCAGACCCACCGGCAGTGGACGACGAGCGGGACACTGCGATTACTCCTGTTGTCCTCAGTGACTGGTCTGGCTGGGACTTTTTGTTTAAGCTTGAGAATCATGCTGACTAAATCTTTGGGGTTTTCCGGAACATCCAAGCCACTCCACTTGTGATACTGATACTGATACACCTTCTGTGTTTCTTTCGTCTGAAAAACAGCAGTGGAGACGGAGTCAATGTTCAGGTTAAAATAAAGATTCGCATAGTACGTGTATTGCAGCTGATTTACAAAAGAAAAATTATATTCCTGAGGAACTGCATGGTGATGTGAGTTCTACCTCATGAATATGAGGTAGGTAGATATCCAAGCTTTGCTCAAAGTACAAAAGACAGCCGACCTCCTAAGACTCCACTACCACCATCTCAGCAATTCACTAAATGGGAAATTTGAGCTATTTTATAGCATTTATCATGATTGGCTGCTGGTCTGGAAGAGAAAAATATTTCCATTTCTTAGAGCAGTAGGTAAGTGCAGTGGGAACTGTCCCTTCTCTTTCTTTAGGCTAAGTTTATAACAGGGAAACAAATTTAAAACTTCCTTTGGGAATTTGCAAAGAAACTTTTACCTTCAGATGTGTAACGTCAAATGCACGTATGGTATAGCTAGGGCAACAGTTAACATCTGTCATTTGAACCTCTATGCCATCATATGTTTGTTTCCCTTCTCCCCAGTACTGTGCACAGAGTTCCTAAAATGGACAAAAGTACAAGTCAGTGCTTACCATTCAAACCTCCTTTCATTTTATCTTCCACGTGCAGTTACATAATGTATTAACTTTAAAGTAGTAGCAGTGTCATTGCATTTTAAAACATAGCATCATACACTCTTCCCCTCAAAAATTCATCAGAAAGTAAATTAAGAAGGTAAATAATAGAACAAATTACACTGGAAATCCAAATTCCTCATCCTATGAAACACGCTTAACTGGAGAAAGGGAATGAGAGAGTGCCGTGCAGTGTTTTCTTTGCATATAGAGGACCCTTAATATGTCAGTGTGAAGACGATGCCCTCACCTGATCTCCTTCTTTCAGTTCTGTCAGCATAACAATGACTTTGACTTTTCTTTGGAAGACCATTTGCCAGAAGTCAGAAATAGTTTCCTGCAGTGGTCCTTGGGTTGCAATCATGGCTTTCGGACCCCAGTAACCCTATAAAGGAAAGTTTTCATATTTTTTTCTTAAATTCATTTGAAATGTGATTGTCAAGCAACAGAACTCATTGTCATTTAAAGAATACCCAGTGAAATAAACTAATGAACCCTTTTGTTTATAGGGAAAATATGCCTGTCACAGTGGGCAATGGTCTTACAGTAATTCTACAAGCCAAATGACATTAAACTCAATCCTCCTAACAACAGTGTCACTTCTAAATTGACAACAAGGTATACTCACGCTGCAGCAGGTGAGAACTCACCCTGCCACTTTCTGCAAAGCATATTTTTAAGGGCTAAAACCACACAGCTGTTTAATTTGACCACTAAGAAATTGAGTTTATACCACACAAAGTTGGTGCACCAGTCAGTTCACACTGAGCTACCCAAAAGTAAAAATACATTTCCTCTGAATAGATATCCTAACTGTGCAGCATTTTAAAGGATTCAGATAAATCAAATTTAGTTAGTAATTCCGTCAAAATCAGTTCCTTCACCAGTGACTGATAAATGCTCTCCTTCTTTTGGAGGTATATATGATACCAAAAAACTGATGGCCCCAGTTTTCACTAGTACGGTTTTGTATATATGCATAACTATACTCACATTTCACTAACAGGGAAAATATTAGTATGGATCAACTTGTACATAGGCAGATGCCCACTAAGAGAAATACATTTTATCATGAGGCCAGTCTGAAAGCTAGTGGTTTTAAACATAACACACACACACGCACGCGCGCACACAAAAAAAAAGTGTTTCTATGTTTAGTCTCACTATTTGAGATTGCACAGTCTAAGACCAAGTAAGGGGAAAAGATTCATCTTATTAACTGCAGCAAAATGTAGAAGATTTTGATGATTTAAACTATAAATGGATTTGCCAATTGACTCTCAGATCTTTCTCCCTTATTCAGGTAAATCCTAGTCTATTTGTGAAGCCAATAAGAGCTCAAGCTAGAATGTAGCTTTAGCTGAAAGCTTGTGAAATTCTTATAGTGGATCCTCTAAATACATACAGTTATGAAGGAAGCATTGATGTATCTGCTTGATTCCTCACGGTCACTGTCCTCATCTGAGGAATCATCTGAATCACGTTCACCCTCCTTACTGCATTCTTCTTCGTGCCTGATTGGCACTCGGTTAAAGTCATCTGCATGAGACAAAGTGTCACTGTCACACCACACTGTTGCTCAGGTATAGCATTAGAGGGGGGCTGTCCCCACATGTGCAGGGTGGAAAATAGGTAGAAAAAGGCCAGTCCTTTCACAACAGGCTGCAGAACAAAGGCAACTTTATTTGAAATAAACGCTCCTGAAAAAGTCCTTGACTAGCATAAGCAGTACTCAGCAACAACTACAAACATCAGCCTGTTATCAACATTCTTCTCCTACTAAATCCAAAACACAGCACTATGCCTGCTGTTAGGAAGAAAATTAACTCTATCCCAGCCGAAACCAGGACAAGAACAAAGGCAACTTTATTTGAAATAAACTTAAACGCTCCCAATAATTTGCATTTTTAAAAACTCATCTCTTGTTTTTTAAAACACTATAAGAAGTTTCTAATTTTACAGTGTTGAAAAAATTAATCAAATACATCTCAGTAAGATAATTTACTGCCCTCATTTTTTTCAAAATTTAGTAGGTTTTCTTACAGAAGATAACAGATAAAATAAGGGAAGGTTCTTGGAAAATACTTACATGGAATTATGCTGGCGTTCCTATTTTTGCTTTTATTTTCCTCACGATTCCCAGTGTTCTGTGTCCGCCACCCCTTATAGGAGGGTAATCTCTAAAGAAAGAGGATGTTTGGTATTATGTTTGACTGAAATGGTTCCTGGGGTCATTGTCCCCTCTGGACACCCACACCCAGTCTTCATCTCCCAGTGTCTCACTTCCTACTTTAATTCTTTAAACTTTGGTCACATCTGGACTATAGTTTAAAAATGCCTGCTATACCATGTACAATGGCACAGGAAATCATGCACATAGACACAAGTAATCGTTCTATGCTCCCCACCTTTGTTAAAAATATTAGTATCAAAAGCTGGATTAAAATTTCATTAATTTACAGCTTTTTTCATGAAGGTAAAGAAACCAGTTTTGTGCTGGAGAAATAAAATATCACAGAAGTGATCTACTAGGTGTGGTATCTCTATCTCATGACTGTTGTGCAAGGCACTTACTAATGCGAGTGGGAGGTAAGAGCCCTAGAATGCAATGCTTATTTACCTGAAACTCTGCCTCCAGCAGAGAAGGATCACTCGGAGGATCTTTTCTTTTCAGATTGTTAAGATAGGAATGCAGTTCTGAGAGACTGACCTCTGTTTCTCCATACTGATTGTATTCCACTAGCGCTTGATGGATAAGGATGTACTGCGACTGGTGTTTCCCATTTGAAGGGTTTAAAAATGAAGTTATTAAAGAGTAAAAAAAAAAACAGACACTTTTTAAAACCATAAGAAACTATTACTCCCATGATGAATAATATTAAGCATTAACATTAAATAGGCATTAAATACAAGTATTAAAAATCAGAGTGGCTTCCAAATTAGACATTTTGGAGCACATTTAGTGTGTTGGATGAGAAGTGTTCTGCAAATAAATGTAATGTCATTCAAGAAAAATGCAACTGAGATTTGAAAGATCTGCAGAACGCTTAGGTAAGTTAAAAACATGTATTGCATCAGTCTGTAACTTTTGTTGTACTCTCAACTCAACCAAAAATCCCACCTAGACAGACAGTTTCTAGAAAATTATGTTTGACTACGCAAGCTCAATTTTGCATTTGTGTATTGTATGCCAAAAGCTGGATTATCAAATCTAAAATGTTCTTGGCTTCTTTTTTTTATAAGCCTAAACTTAAAAAGTTGAAGTTTCTAAAACTGAAAAACTGTGTTCTAAGTTTTTCTCTCTCTAAATATTTTTCAGAGCTATATTTTCTATGAACAACTTCAGCTGAACTGTAGCAGTACCCAAGACTGAGCAGTGCACTTCGGAGAAATACTGATGAAGCCCTGGCAAAGGAGAGTTCTAAGTGACAGGAGTCTTAGCAAGATACCTCTACTTGAACCATGAGGCACCGCTGCCGACGCAGCTTCACAACATAGCCATAAACATCCACTCTGCCTTCTGCATCCAGCCCCTCCAGCATGGCATCAATTCCTATATATGTCCCAGTGCGCCCAACACCGGCACTGCAAAGCACAAAGGGATTTGGTTATCAAGAGGGAATGGCATCTCCCAGTCCCACTCTAAGAGGGGAGCAGTCAGTGACAGAGCAATAGTGAAAAGGTGTAACAAAGGGATACGAAGCAATTGAAAAAAGTTCTTGCTGTAAATTAATTGGCAACACAAACAATGATGAGTTTGTATTTTAAATATCTCTTAATGAAAGTAAGGCCAAAATTGCCAAACGTGGTGCTTATAGCCAAAGTAGCCCAACATTTATCTGGCTGCTTTCCAAGAGTCCAAAAGTGTATGTATCCTCACATTTTAGCAACCTGAATATCCTTCAGAAAACAGGCCTTTTTATGCATCTTTGGCTGCTTCACTCTCAAGTAATCAAGTCACAAAACTTGGGATCAGCCAGATACCTTTGCCAGCTCCCTTTTCTGAATAGCTTCACTTCATGTTCATTTAACATTAATATAATTTTTAAAAAATAATATATATTTACCTGCAATGAACCACTATTGGGCCACTAAAAAAGTTGCTGAGAGCATTAACTCTGCGTCGGAGTTTGAGAAGGAGATGCGGATCCTCAGGGACTCCATGGTCTGGCCAGCTTGTGAACTGAATATGAGTGACATCTCTTCCAGCTGTCCGTTCTTTTCCCTAGACAAAGTGAAGTGTGGGGTTTTTTAATATATATATACACACACACACAAACAAAGCCAAAATCAAGTGCAGATATACAAAGCAAAAGAAAAATAAGGGCAATGGTAATCAAATATTGAAACACAAATTTCAAGAGTGCTGTAATGTTGTAATCCAAATGGTCTCTCAGGTTATGACATTTTTCATATTCAATTTTAATTAAAAAATATCCATGAATCAGGAATACGCAATGACTCCAACAGAGGAAAAGCAGGAGGATCAGTGTTGGTAAAAATACTTTTTTCTCAGGTTAGCCTATGATCCAGAGTCTGTCTCCCCACTCTATTCATAAACAACTTGGCCAGGGTATAGCTCTGCTTACTTCAAGGGGTACAGGTTGGTAATTCTCTTATATCTCCTAGGATTAGCCTGCTAAGGGTACAAAAAAAAGAAATTTAAACTGTAACTCACTCAGACTTCTACCATTTAGAAGTAGATGCAAGAAAACCTATGATTTTCAATGAGACTGACTTTCTTAAGTCATTTCATTAAAGATTAAAGCATGTCAACTTTTGAGTCCTACTTTCATATGGTGCTGCTAGATTAAAAGAGCGGACACACATTTTGATAACCATGATTATAAAAAAAAAAAAAAGAAGAGAAAGACATCTCAGTGAAATTCTTTTATGGGCCAAGATTTAGCATGCCTATATGGGTTTTCTCCAGTAATTAACCCCCAAATTCTTACTCAAACTTGAATTATCCAGTTGTGGCACAGTTATTCATGCAGTTATTTGCCATTGTTTCGGTAATTATACATCACTATTCCACCAGAACTGCAGAAGTCTCCACTTTCTTACCAGGGACCACTCTTAAATTTCACAACCCATATCACTTTTATCTGTATTAATATGATGTCAGCTGAACAGAGAGCAGACAGCTCTAAAAATATCAGTCCTCAGCCTACAGCAATCTCTCATTTCTAATGTCAGACTGTTCTAGTCACAGAGAAACGTCTTTGTTAATAGTTAATTCTTAACATCCTGATATTCTCACTGTCTTCACACTAAGTTACAACTTTCTTCTAATCAGACCACTTCCTGAGTCAATTTTAATGCAACATGAGACAGCAGAATAGGAATTTCCAGCTGTAATCATGGATCAAGATGGGTGGAGTCTGTTGCTTGACTATTTTGCTGAAGATCTGTCAGCAGATTTACTCTTTGAGTCTTAATGCTTTAAGCTATGACTTACATGCCATTTATCCTCACTGAAATATTTTCACAAGGGGCCCGAGAAAAGCATTCAGCGTTAGATAGCAAATTTTGTTCTCAGTTACACACAGAGCAACTAATGTGATTTCACATGTATAAAAGACAGCAATTAACCAGCCTTAATGATTCTACACGTAGTCAAATGGTAATTTGAAAACACTTATGTTTATAAATCCACTTGAGATTACCAGAATTTGTAATTGTCCCACTGTACAATTATCACGAGGGTAGATAATGGTGCTCTGTGAATCACATTGATTTTACTTGCAGAAGGTTATGCTGAGAGACACATTAACCAGTAAAATTTCTGTGTTAAAGAACAAGCTAAATATTTGAGGAAATCAGTGTGTTAAGTTTTCTGTACTTAACAGTATATTAACAGTTTCCTTTAAATGTAGATTGCAGAGTACTAAGCAAAATAAATTTTTATGTTGGGAAATGTATGTCTAACTCATATTTCTTGTAAGGAATGACACCTACATCTAAGAAGTTTTGTCTTTAACTGTATGTTGCTTAGGGAAAAACAGCAGAGCATCTTCCATTGATAGCTGACTTCTCCTCTTAAAAGCATCTCTCATCCATACCTACAGACTCCAAATAGACACTCCAATTCCATCAGTCTTACACTTTTGAATCAACTTACGTTTGTGATGTGTAGTTTCTGAATGACATAGTCTGGACACGTTTTACTTTCATTTATCTTCACAATGATGTCCCCATATGTTGCAGAGCCATTCTCCATTGATGGCCAGTACTGGGCACATTTGTTCTACAAAGATATGAAGTTAGGTGAGCAGCACAACAGCAAAGTGGCAGAGAACTGAGAGCTAGAAGAAAGTCTCATTTAAAATACATGGCAACTCAGTATAGATTTTCCCAACTTGTCACAGGTCTTGTCCTCTCCTGAAAAGGCTGCCACTGCTTAGGATGTCAGTCTTAAATAATTCCAAATATCCAACAATTCAGGTCTCTGACCTGAAGTCTATGCCCATGGAATTTAACTTGGAACACAAAGTGGGGAAAAAAATCCTGTACAGTAGTTGAAAAAGTGAACAACTACTGTTGCTGTTGCCTGAAGGCGGTAGAAAAGTTTGCAGCTACTTCTATGGTTTCTTTTTCAGTCTTCAGTGAGGGGTGTTGCTCCTGCCTGCCTATAACATCAACTTGAGGATGCTGTAGATCTGCATGCTGCCAACCTTTTCGTCTTCAAATGCAATTAAAACAGCAGTTCCCCTTCTTCCTGCTGTTGATGGAATAAGAAACAAAAGCAAGCCAGAACCACCCAACCTTCCAGTTAAAGGAAGGGCAAAGACGACAGATAAAAAAATATTCTGTCCAGGATTTACTGAGGGCATTGCCAGGATATCAGAAGATAATAGACAGGAGAAAAATACAAGCTATACCTTTTATGACAGGTCTGTGAGGAGCTAGAGTTCTACCTTGAGCCCTTTTCTGGATTTATTAGCTGTAATTTGGAAGCGCACCCTCTGCTACTTACAGCTATGACTAAAGTGACATTTTCTGATAAGACTGGTAATTCCATAAGGCAACACTGTTTTGGCATGCTTTCCAACATAGGTTCTGCCACAATGAGAAAACAGCAAACAATGAAAACAAAGTACTAAGAAGAAAATATAATTCACCACAGCAGAGCAACCCTTTCTGTTTTCAGACAGAAGAAAGATGGAAAGATGGATGGATGGATGGATGGATATTTCTCACCCTTTTTCCTTCCTCACAGCGAGTCACCATGACAATAATTGTTGCCTTCTGTTCCCAGATCATTCTCCAGAAATCATCCGTGGTTTCATCCTTGGGACCTAGCAGGAGATATTTTAAAGGAGTTTTTCAAAGAGTGCACCTACATAAAAAAACACTTGCCTTCTTGACATGCTTAGCCATGCAGTCTGAAAAGCTAACCAGAGATCACGCAAATAACAGCCACACACTTGATTTCATTATGACTGCTGCCATTAGGCTACAACATTTTAAAAGTCTCATATATATCTTTAGTGCACAACTGTGAAATCTGAAAACTTTTGGTGTAAAATTATACATCATGAGAAATCTGCCTTTGAAGTATGTAGTGGTTTAGCCCCAGCCAGCAGCTGAGCACCACGCAGCTGCTCACTCACTCCCCCTGCCCCAGTGGGATGGGGGAGAGAATTGGAGGAATAAGAGTGAGAAACGCTCCTGGGGTGAGATAAGAACACTTTAATAATTGAAATAAAAAAAAATAAAATAAAACAATATAATAATAATAGTAATAACAATATACCAAGCAAGTGATGCACAATGCAATTGCTCACCACCCGCTGACCGATACCCAGACAGTTCCCGAGCAGCGATCGCTGCTCCCCAGGCAACTCCCCCCAGCTTATATACTGAGCATGACGTCATATGGTATGGAATAGCCCTTTGGTCAGTTTGGATCAACTATTCTGGCTGTGCCCCCTCCCAGTTTCTTGTGCACCTGGCAGAGCATGGGAAGCTGAAGTGTCTTTGACTAGCATAAGGAGTACTCAGCAACAACTGAAACACCAGTGTGTTATCAGCATTCTTCTCATCCTAAATCCAAACCACAGCACTATGCCAGCTACTAGGAAGAAAATTAACTCTATCCCAGCCAAAACCAGGACAAAGTACCATTTATTCAACTTCACAAAATTCCCTAAGCAAAAACGCGTTGGCAACTTTTTCATATTAAATTTGAAAATGTCAGATTTTCAATTTTTCTTTAAATTTAGTAATACTTTTTTACTACTCTCTATCAAAAAATGGGTGAATAAAGAAAGCATATTCTTTTAAAGGTTAAAAATTACCTTGTGCAGCAATGTATTTTCTCGGTTCTTTGAAGCCCTAGAAAAAGTACAATGTTATCAACTTTTAGAAAGGAAGCATGAACAATTTAAAAGATTTGCAACTTTAAAAATAAATTCAGTATGCAACAGTCCAATAATACCTAATACATTACAAAAATGGAAAGAAGTCAAATGGAAATCCTCAAAGGTGTTTGATGCATGAAATGTACAGACTACAGGATTTCTTCAATAGTGCCTAAGACTTTTTTTAAGTAGAAGTCACTCACATCAATATAACTTGCATTGATATAGTCTGATCCTGGGTCTCCTGGGATCTCTGAGAGCTCAACACGGTTATGATCATCTGTTTAAATGATTTAAAACAAAATAATTCTATTATCTCAAGGCACTGAGAAACCAAATATTTATATAACATGTAAAAATGTAACAAATACTCACATGGAAGGATATCAATGTAACGGTTTTTGTTCTGATTATGGCTTTTTTTGGCCTCCTTTATTGAAAATTTAGTGAAAACTCTAGGAATACTCTGTAAAATACAATGTTTCTTTTATTAGGTAAGCATATGTTTAAAATAGCTTCTATTTTCAGTCAAATGCATATGGAAGAAATTTGGTACTACTGAGTCTGGAAGATAACATTCTGTTTCATATGATACTACTTCATATATTTCTTACATCTAAAATAAACAAATTTCTTTTCCCTTAATATAAATAACATATATCACCACAATTTTATATTATTTATATCCCCATGGCTATGCAGTAAGAGAGAGTATTAAAAATAAGCATTAAAAGGTACTTCAGAATGAGAAGTATTTAGACTGTGTATTTTACACTTTTTCTGAAAAACACCTTCAGGGGAAAAAAAAGTACCACCACCTTATACTGAGGAGAGCTTGGTAGCAAAATTAACTGAAGCCTATTTGACCTTAGATAAGAATTCACTCATTTTTCTAGGTTCTTACTTTTTTATTTATTTATAACCAGTGCATATACTTCAAACATGCTCTTGAACAGAATTCTTCCAACTACCTTGCTACAAATCTGTGGTATATTTTGAGCCAATGACAAACCTGAAATTCATCCAAGAAAAGTCTTCCTTCATCAGCAATCTTCCTCTTGTACATGTCCAGCAATTGCTCTGAAGGTATTGGCTCTATGTTCAGAAGTTGCCTGTCATCATCTTTAACTGTGTAAATACGTTGAACATTTATCGTTACTGACTTTGAAAATGTAAATTACATTTCAGTAAACATGAGTCTCGATTTCTCAGATGAATTAACAAAAGGACAAACCTCTTTATTTTAAGTAAGCATGTTTATGTTTCAAAAAAATTGTGTTGCTTGAGCTAGCTGTAAGCAAACAGGCCCTGGGAACAGCAAAACTTGTTCAGCTCTGCTGCCTGACTGGAGACACCTCAGGAGGAGGCCACGTACAGCCACAATGCATTAACAGCGCTTTTATGCAAAGTGGTGATTGTCACATCCAGGTCACAGCAACCGCCCCAACACCCACAATAGTTACATGGCCTTGCTCTCTACTTCAATTCTGACCATTTATCATCAGTGGCAAAATGAATTACTGTGCAAACAACCTACATATGTAACAATATGTATTGCCTACTTTTCCAAATTTTCTCCAGCTTACTCTCTGAATTGCAGTAATTTGTAATACCATCTTTAATGATAATGATTGAACACATTTTAACATGTCTAACTAGACATTTATTCATTTTTCATTAACATTGAAAAGATTTTTTTTTTTTAACAACCATGTGTCTAAGCAAATGGATTTGAATATAAACAAATGTGAAGTATTACTTCACATTTAATGTAGTTAATTTCTGTGGGCTTGAATGTCATCAATTTTTTTTTTCCTTGCAGCTTCCTGGTATTGACTGATTCTGTCTTTCCTGACAGGCTTTGAAATCTTGTGCAAAAAGTTGCACCTAGTGTTCAGTTTCAGTCTTTGGGATTTGAAAGGCTTCAAAAATTTGCAGGAAAGAATGACTGGCTTATGTTTAAATTCATGCTTTGAAAAAGGTGCACAGGAAAGGGAAATTCTGGTTGAAGCTGTATTTGATTCTGGACTTACTCTCAGGGTTAAACATTTCCAACCATTGTCTGGGATAATAAAATTGGGTTTTTAATTAAATAATAAATAAGGGTTTTTCAAACACTGATAAACTTTCAGTTCATTTAAGTGTAAATAATTCTGCTATGCATTTACTGAAGTATTTTTTTTTCTCCAAATGAGGTGTATCATGTTGGTATCTGTAATCTATGCATACAACTTAGAATGTAAACAATCCAAAGGTGGCAGCAAGACATGTGACTAATTTTATTTCCACTTGCTAAATATGTAAACATACTCACCTGCAACAAGGTTCACACCTTCAGAAGAATTGCTGTAAGAAGCAAAAGCATCTGTAAAAGCTTTGACTACTAAGACATATATATGATAATCACTTAAATAAAAGCAGTTTTATATGTGATTGCCAAGAGTGTTCATAACCCACCGACCGCATTACAAGCTCTCTGTGAAACAAGAGTGCTACAACTACGACTTACAGGCTCTATGCAGAGGTGGTTGGGATCCTTGTCTTCCTACTCTGAGCACTATTGGGTGGGAGAAACAAGGGAACCACATCGAACAGCTTTACTGCTTGCATAATTTTGTCCATATCACCTGCAGCACACATGTCTTTAACTTCCTCACTGAGTGACTGCTCACACCACCTTTGTTTCTCTTGCTAAATAAGTGACAAAAAACTAACACATACATAAAATATAATCAAATTAAATTTAAATGCCAAGTGGCCAAGAACAAGCCAGACTCTCTGGAGCTGTACAAGCAAGAATTAGTTTTGCTTCCCTAAGCATAAAAGTTTGCATCTAATCAAGAGCAGCTCCCTGTCCCAGTAAGGGGAAGAGCAGAGGGGAAAAAGGGGCTGGAAGAGATGAGTCCCCAAGGTCTGCTATTGCCAGAGGGCTGAGAGGTTTACAAAGAAATTGCCCTAACTCCTCCGTCTCTACCGGCAGCAAATGCCCCCTCACGCATTGCACCACCTCCCTTCACAGCAACAGCAGCAGTCAGCCTGTCTTTCCAGGGCTCTGGAACAGTTGTCAGGGAAGGCAATGACTATTCTTCTATTGCTATCTGCTGTCCTACAGAACTGCCAAGTCCCCTAGAGGTGACTAGAATAAACAAAGCCTCCCTGAGATAGTGCTTTGCGTGAATAAGCATTTGAAAGAGTTCCAAGAAAGTGTGTATTATTTTCTTTTAACTTAAATCATGAAGGCAAGGTTTTCCAGATATTTGTGAATATTTTTTCATTAAACTAGTGACAAAACATTTTGTTCTAGCAGGTCATTTCTTCTGTGCCCTGAGAACGAGTGTAGCAGAGAGGTTTTAAATCTATTTCATTGTATTTGCATTGCCAGACAAACCACCAAACCTGAGTTTCTTTTGAAAGGATTAAAAGGTAAAAGGATGTCTTTTCCCAGTATTAATGAAATATCAAACTTGCAACATTTTTGCACTACCCGTTGGGACATCTTGTGGAAAAACATAAAGCCCCCCGGCCCCCCCCTTTATATAGGAGAGGGAGAGAAACATGAAGCTTACCTAAGCTTTTTTTTGTGAAGAACATAGATTTTGTACAGAACCAGTAACAAAGCAATTGATGTCACAACAATCAAGAATGCCAAGAATATAATCAGGGCTTTAGAATTATCTAGCAACAGAAAAAGAATACATTTATTATTTATTGAATACATAATGAATGGCATTTAAAAATTACTTTTTTTTTCCTTTTTTTTTTCCTAATCTGTATACTTCCTAGAACCAGGGCTCATTGATTTTTTTGTGAAAAGAACTAAACAATTATTTTTAAGTGTTTTGTTTAAGTTTGTTATTCCAAAGTGCCAAAAAGCTCACAGAAAAGGAGGGAATTTTATTTCCTTATTAAGAAAACTTTCACTTAAACTCTCCATGTCCACCTGTCAAAATGCTACAACTCACTCACTGGTTCAGCATTACCATGGTTGTCTCCTGCTCTGTGTGACCTGTACACCTGAGCAGTGGAGCTCTCCACTGCTCCTGATCTGGGAGTTGAGAATCCCTGACAAGTCACAGATGTTCAGCTCCTGAAATGCAGGATCTGAACACAGGAAAATAATCCTAAAGTGAATAACTTAAGTTAGAAAAATGAATTTCTAGTTGCATTCAAATGTTTCCTGAAGAAACCACAGCTGTGTAGTAATTCTGAATTACGGTCAATGACTTGTCAACATGATCCGTTACATTAATGATGAATGAGAATATTATTTTTTCAAATGGAGATCAACTATTAGCTATAAAAACAGGCAGTTTGGATTTTTAGTTAGGAGCAATTGTAACAGAATTCACAATTTACAATGTTATATAGCATTACTATGCTAAAGTCTAAAAGTGAAAATGCTGTATATAATTTACTTACATCTGGTTCTTATACTCGTCTTTACTGGCTGCCCTTTATACAATTTATTAGTCACGAAGATCTGCATGCAGTGGGTGAGAAAAATAGAGATGTTAAGATATAACAAGTAAAAATTTCTGCATATTTTTTTTTAAAAAGCAAAGCACAGTGGATATTCGAAATACTTCCATCTATTTGCAATGGATCAACCTCACTGACAGCAGGACCTGCTGTCAATCTTCGTATAGCCATTTATAGTGCAGCTCAGGTTTCTGCCTAAGTTACAGCAAGATCTACATCCAAAATTATGTAGATGACTGGAAAAAAAAGTTAGTGAAATAGGAGACACGTTTTACAAAATCAAAATCAGATGTATCTCCTCTCTTATCAAATCAAAATCAAATCTCTCAAATATGAAAAATAACAATGCAATATGTAATAAAACATCATTATTTTATTTGCTTCAAAAGTAAATATACAAATAGTCAACTGAATTGGATATTTTCAATACAAGTTCCTGTATGAGAAGTAATTTATAAAAGGTTAAATGACAGAAGCCAAAATAAACTTTTAAACAAGCTGCTTTCTTGCAACATTAACTTTGGGTACTTTAACTGCTGTTAAAATACTAACTTTGTTTCGATGTGTTTATATTTCACAAGATACTTTACATTTATCCAATCTTTTAAATTTCCTTAACAGAAATTCCTATCAGATCTAATACGCAGCTTGAAGTTTGTATGTCAAGTATTTCACACTTTTCTTGTGAAGAGAAATTAATCTTACGATTAAACTTAAAGATTGAATACTGAACAGTGGAGAATACTAACAGGATTGAATAATAGTGATTTCAATAGTAATGCTCTCCTGCTCCAAATCATCCAAAAGGGGAGGAGAAGGGCTTTCAGCACCATTGCTGACTGCAGGCTGAGTTCTTACGGAGCCTACCCAATCCCTTAAGAGAAACCTCTTCTGAAGACTCAGAGGACTGTGCCCCAGCTCCCACCCTCTGCTCTGAAAGGCGATGTGTTCAGGGCGCTGGTGGTTTCTGAATTCTGGGAAGCAGCTGGGAAGGAAGCCATGGTAGGTGGCAACATCCAGAGCAGTAGCAGAGGTGGCAGAGAAAACAAGCAAGTTTCTCAAATAGCAAAAGCCAGAAACCTAGTGCAGCAGTCGGGGTCAAAACATCACTAAACCAAAAGGTATGCTGGGTAGGCTCCTGTTTACTCCCTGAACAATTCAGTGTGCAGATAGAAGGGAATTGTGACATCCGTCAACTCTCACAGGTGATCAGTTTTTTTTTTTTTCTTGAGCCTTCCATAACTTGACCCAGAATCCTTTCGTTGCTAGTTAAGGCCATAAGGCTTTCTCTGTTTTTCCAGTGAGAATTGGGCAAAATAAGTTCAAAACAGATGACAGAATTTAGAGCCAAGCAGAAGCCTATTTCTTCTGTAACGCAAACTGCTCACCGCAAGTGATGTACAAAAAGCTTACAAGAGTGCAGGGGTCTTGTACTATTGGGGCAATGCAAGCATCTTCTGCTCCGACAGGACCTCATCTTTACTTTCCAAATACAGAGCTTTCTGAGCATAATCTGTCGGAAAAATACTGACAAAGCCCTGGAACAAAACCTAGATTACTCAAGTTCTCTGATACTGCATTTCCTCGGGAAGACATAGAGAAAAGAGGAAAAGATTGTGGAAGATGAGTGAAACTGTTCCTAGAATTAATAAAACTCCATCATTCCTACTGGTTACTTTGTTACCTAAACTTCACTGAGAGGAGTTATCAGGATATAAAAAATACCCCTAATGGACACATTAAGGGGATCACACAAGACCATTGGCTTTGCAAGCAACAAATCCCAAAAGGGTGAAACGCCCGAAAGAAGAGAAAATAGCAGGAGGCCTTCAGGAAAGTGAAGCTTGTAAACAGAGGATGATATATTTTGTATGGAAACAAGGACTGGCTTCTAAAAGGCTGATGTAAGGACATGTGAAAGGATCTGAACTGCTTACACTAACTAGTTCCTGAAGCATCAAAAATCTGCACAGTGAAAAATTCTGAACACTTTATTTCTAAGCAATTATCTCAAGACTTAAATCCCATATTTATCCTCTGATTGAAATGATAGTCACACATTCATTAAACGAAATGTGTTTTAAACACTAAAATATCAGTCATAGTTAAGAAACTGTTTTAAAACTTATGGAACCCCCAAATTTCTCTCTGTCCCAAGTACAAACAGTCTATTCAGCTTGTATTTTTCATGCTGTCAGAACCTATGTGGAATAGCACACAAAGGATTGATTGATAGGCTAGGCACATATGCATCATATGCATTTTATTTCTGAAGTAATAGCTACTTCTTTACATCTGTGGCCTACAGATCCATAGATTAACTCTTCCGCCACCATATTTGCCTTTTTATCCTAAAACCAAGTATAATATGCTTAAACAATGAAAATACAGCAATATTTTATATATTTAATTTAATAAGCCTACTTACCTGAAATGCGTAGTTCGTCAAGTACGAGAGATTTTCTATTTTAAAATCACATTTACCGGAGCTCCTTTGTTTACCATTTTCCCAAGTCACTTCAATTGCTTCTTCTGGTCCAGACACTTCTTCTGGTTTTTTGCACTTAATTTGGACAGCATTATCAGCTATCAATGTTGCACTAACATGAGTCACTCGTTCTGGTTCTGTTCACAAAAGAAGTGTTACTGGTTCTATTTGCATCATTTCAAACCTAACATTTGAACAGCTGTAAGTGTTCATGTCTGTTTTTTACCTTCTCTTTTAATAATGTCATACATTTTCTTCCTTAAAAACCTCAGCCCCAATTTAACAGGATAAATAAAATCAATTTTGAGTTTACCATAGGCTTATCTGAACTGGAAAAGATGTGAAGTGGAACTGAAAAGTTTGGGAAGATCAGAGCTCTACTGACAGTCAGGCTGCGAAGATAATATTATGGCAGCTATCTCTTCTTGCGTCTGATATCACTTTCTCATTTGAGGAACACAGGACCACAGACAAGACAGGGGAACAAACAGTCTCTGTGTGAGTGTATGTTTCAAAACTTCTCTAAATGAAATTTCCTACGAGCAGTTACTAGTATATTTTAATCTTTGGAATAGTATCCTTTTGCTTAAAGTGTCACATTGTCTTAAAGCTGGCCTAAACCCACAAAAACTTTTTACTTTTTAACCATAAGAAATCTGTTAAGTTTAATCTGTGTTTTCTAACTCTAATTTTGTATGTTGTAGCAAATGGGTTTCAGACTGGGGGCACAGCCCAAGGGACTTTTCATTGAGAGCTTATAAAACCTTTCAGAAAGTAAATAACCTTCTGTGTAAGGAAGCTCCACTAGCCACATTTCAGTAGAACACCACCACGGAAATTTTCTTCAAAATCATTTCAATTTGCAAGCTAGCATATTAAAAAAAAAAAAAAAAAAAAAAAAAAAAAAAAGGCAGTTGCTTTTTTCTTCATATGAAGAGCTAAGGTGTGTGAGGCTCTATGAGCAGATCAAATATCCCATGTGGGGAGTGGCAGGATATTTTACTTGGCTGAGTGTGCGGTTACGATGTATCTGCTCATTTTTATCCACAGGGCAGATTTGTTAGATTCCTATTCAGCATACTACTGAAAGAGCTGTGACAAGGAGGAAGTGAACATTTCTGGAGGCAATGTGTTTGCTGAAGATGAAAAAATATTTTATAAAATGTAGCGGTTTTTCTGCTTCCACGAAGTTGTGCTCTACTGACATATTCTCTTGTTCAAGAAGCCATAAAACTCTTCCACTACCTGCTTGATCATGTTAGCAACTGTTGTAACAGTTGGAGAAAGTTTAATAAATACCATTAATTCATGAAGGCAAGCAACTTGTTATTCTCTCAAAGAATAAGGGAACTGAGGTTGTTTTCCAGACCCATAAACTTATATTGTGGACTGTAATCTTCATGTCAGTTATTAAAATATGAGTGGAGCCCCAGAAAGTGGGGGTCCAAAATATAATATGCTCAAACTAGATTATTGCAGAGAGAAAAATCATGATTATGCTCAAATTAGGGCTGTCTAAAAATTAACGACATTTTTCAATTTCTGTTAAAGTTATGTCTCAGATCAAATAGTTTACATTATCAATCAATTCATTTATCAGCTTTTTTTTTAACCCATGGGGCTTCAGGTGGTAATTTTGATCCCTGTATTCTTCCAACTATAGACTAAAATTTGTTAGGTCAATGACCCAGACTAACACAGATATTCCAATGTTTTCATGGATTGTCTATAAAACTGGATACAAAAGCTCTCTATATTCCACAGAGGGATAGGATTCAAATTCAAAACAATAGTCTGCCAGAAGTCCCTCTATTTCCCAAAGCTCTACAGAAACACATTTAGTAAAAACAGCAGTCAGATTTAATGTTCTTATATATCCATTTCTACATACTTTTCAGGAATGCTAAAAGCAACAAAAGATTTAATTATTCCTGCTATTACGGGGAAAAAAAATCACCACTTTAAACTATCATTACATCACTAGCACAAAAATAATATTTTATTTTTCACTAAAAAAAAAATCTTTTGCTTATTCAGTGAAATTAAAGGAAATATTAATTTAGTATCTTGCCAGGTATAAACCATCACAGTTTCTCTATAGCTGTATCTCTATATTAGCTGAGTCTGGAGGTGGTGGAACTTGAGCTAAAAAAGTGCTGGAAAAAATTAGATAAATATGGGGTTTTGGGTGGTTTTGGTTTTGTTTTGGGGATTTCTTTCCCTCAAAGAAGGAATTAAAACAGTACAAGGCTCCACATCTGAAGATTAAAAGGAAAAAAAAAAAAACCACAACAAAATAGACAGGACTGCATTTCTATTACGCCTTGTCTGTATCAGGAAAATATCTGCAAAGTCGGTTGCATTTGGGGTCTTTTTAGCTTTTCTTCTAGTTCTATCAACTGAACATGTATGGCAAACAAAGAATCAGAACCACAGGGGCAAGCTTTTGAAAGTATAGCCCCAAAAACGTGCACAGACCTTTCTGACAGCACAAGAGTTGGCACACATTTGGCTTTAACCTAATGTGGAATCTTAGAAGCCAACCGTGTACATGTACATCCAAACTAACCGAACCCCAGTACAGACATCAGTATTGGTGTAGCCTGGGTAATGCAGGTCTGCTTTGAGCAAACAGGCAACTACAGAAGAGAAGGTACATTCTACACATCCTTGTAGCTTTCATGCCACAAAGCAAAACCAAATGGTTTTCATTCTCTTTTTGTTTAATTTGAATCTTTTCTTTAGATTGGGACATAATGCTTTCTAAAATCTTACCAAGAATTTCAAATGAATGAAGAATTTTTGAAAAATATCTAGTATACATAAAAAGAATACTAATACTAAATGCATAATTAAAAATAGATTAAAATCAAGTAATTAAAAACGAAACACTAATGATATGAATGTCAACACAATTATTTGAATGTTAATCAGTTTCTTGGCTAATAGCAATAACATATTTAAAATATAATGAAGTACAATAAGAAAGTACATATTCCCTGTGTTAGTATCAGCCTTGTTCGTAACAGCTGGCAGACAAGAGACTTACCTGCTGCTTCTGTTTGAAAGCTACATATTTTAGTTTCTCCCCTCAATACTCCATTGTTATATTTGCTATTCGTATATGGAGTCACAGACACAGAACCATTGGTATAAGGTTTTAATCCCTTGCACGTAAAGTTGGTCACGTTGGCTGACGTTAGTGATTGTGTCCCTTTAAGAAAAAATGAAAAATGAAATTAATTAATGAAATTAATGAAATTATGTTAGGAGCACGGGAACTCTTACACTTCATCAGAGCTACCTGAAACCGGTCATACGTACTTCTATTTTAATTACCTTGTACTTGGTTGGTTTGTCTTGCTTACTAATGCTAAGTGAAGGGTCAGGAAAAGGAAGAAATATATTCCCCAATCAAAAAGGTAGAAAGCTGAGGTTTTGTTCTGTTTTGTTTTTTACCTTCACGGTATGTCATTTAAATGGGTGTAATTAAAAGCTAACATAAAGCACATTGATAAAGAGAGGTTGATACTTTCTTCTGTGTTCAGCTTGGGAAGGGGTTAGTACATGTCAAAAGTCACTCTGCACACTGGGCAAGTCTCTTCTGGCATGATGCAAGAGCTGTGTGCTTTTGGTAGTGGCAAGCAGGACAGAAAGGAATTGCACAAGAAGCAACATGAGTGAAGCTATTACCCACACTGCAGCTGGGGCTTTGGTGGATTGGGGAACTGGGGAGCAATGGCCTTTCCATGTTTCCTTTCGTCTGCTTCAGATGTGACCTCTCCACACCCCAGCACACTATCTCGGTCTGCTACACTGGCCAAGGCAGACCAGCCATAAAAAAGGGTGCATGGGGCTGCCACCCTTTTGGGTAGTGGTCAAATTCAGGGCATGGAGAATGGGAGAGATTATTTGTATCTGGGGAACACATGAGCATGACAGCCTTTGGTTCCTGTGGTAGTCCAGGTTTACAAAACATTCAGTATATGAACAGAAAGAATGAAATAGCCCGGGACTAACTTAAACCTGACATATATTTCCTAGAATCTTGTATCAGGCTCTTAATTTTCAAAACATGATTTTCCAGTCCTTGTTTTGAAGAAAAGCTCACATCTGGAAAACATGGTCCCAGTATAACAGATACAGACTTATCCGTCTAAATGTAAGGTGGCCTAACCCAGCATATCTGAAAGGAGTGACCGTTTAGTGGAAGACAACCACCCGGCTTTACCTATGTAAACATGTATATGCTAACTGCCATACTTAGGACCCCTGAGTTCTATATGTATTGTTGTTACTTAGAAGGCAGGTCCCTGTCTTCTGAGAGAATATATGAACCAGCTATAGCAGCATTTTCTGAGATAGAGCACCATGCTACAAACTGATCAGGCAACTGATGATCTTGTCATAACTGAATACAAAGAGCTTGAGAACTGAAGGGTGACAGAGTTGTGTCCTGAAATGGTAAACTGAATAACCACATGGTTCAACTGGAACAACCTCAAGGGAAAGAAACTTAAACGTTTGTACCAAAAAAAAAAAAAAAATCTGCACAGTTTGAAGAGATTCCAATATGGTTTGACAGGTGCTCTATGCTTGGTGCTCTATAAGTATTAAAGCATGCAATGAGTTATCCAGTACTGAAGGGGCATGTACTTACCGTTGGGAGTACATGACACCTCATAGCCATGTATAGGACCCTTTGAAACGCAGCTAGGTTTCTCCCATCTAAATGATACTTTTCTGGCACCTGTCTGAACTATTGTAAGGTTTTCTGGTGCTTCTGGAGCTGTTGCAAAAGAAAAATAATGGGGAGGGAAGGAAATGTTTGAATGAAAATGCAAAATATTCTTTTTACCTACTTTGATCAAATTAAATTTCATTGGATACTAAATCAAGATACCAACAACATGTAATATTTTTCATAGTCTATTTCATTCAAATAAATTATACATAAGTATAAACTGAGTATATGTAAAAGCATCATATTAGAGTAATTTCATAAATTTAATTAATTCAGGACAAGTTGAATACAGCAATATCAGATAATACTAAAACTGTCCACCATTTCCAAATATTATACATTGTTTTGATTTCCTTATAATTTTAACAAACTTTAAATGTTTGGCCTGAATTTTGATTTGCAGATTACTTGATTTAGATTGATTTCTTTCTTAATTCAGGGAAAAACAAGCTCATCTATTTCCAAGGACAATGTTTTGGAAAAACACATCATTTTATTCTTTGCAATTATTGTATCACATCTTTCTTCAAATCAATAATTTAACACTTGTTTTTGACTAGGCCTGCACTTTTTCTTCATTCAAACTTCCTTACATTTGGCCATGTTCTCACCCTCAAAAAAAAAAAAAATTATCACAATCTCTGAGAGAAGAAGAGGAAGGCATCAGACTGGAAGACTGAGACTGGGGCTGGGGAGGGAAAAGAAGACTGTGACTGCAGACAAAGAACAACCACAAGGGCAGGGAGACCAGGTGGGAGGAGCTGGAGGAGAACTTGAGAGTGGCTGATCATGCTACTCAAAATATATCTTCAACCCCAGGAAACAGAGATAGTGGGATTCATAGTAGGGTCTTCTAGAAATATGTGGAACATAAAGCAAAAATAAGCATTACACTTACCACCATAATCTGTTGTTATTGTTAAATGTTGCTTGTCAACCTCCTTTCCCCAAAAATGTACAGTACCAGTGCAGTTGTACTCTTGGTTGGGTGATAAAGTGTCCAGCTTTTTACAATATTGCTTGTTGAAGAAAAAGTCTAGTAAGACTTTTGAACCTGTAGACACAAAAAGAGTTTTATCAATATTTTCCAAAACTCCAGAAGTACATGGCACCATTTTAACTGGGATTTTTCTCTACCGTATTTATTTAGCATAATTTGTCATAAACTATCATAATATTCCAAACAGAAAAGTGTACAACCTAATCCAATTACTAGTTTTTAGGTTCTTTTATACTAACTTAGTTTGCATAGACCTTTGCTTTTCATCAGTAAAGCTCATATGATTTGACTTTCTAAGAAAACAGTTTTCCCACAGAAATCAAAACATTTCATGGGGGTCTGGCAGAACCCTGGAGTGGCTTCTTAGCTCATCAGCTCCCTGAAACGTGAAATCTCCAGCCCTGGACATTCATTATGCATTTTTCTGGGACACATGAGGACATCCAGCATCCATACCTTCCCTACCACACTAGCTGCATTTGAGCCTGTGCCTCCTCAGGCTGGCTGGCTCCAACAGCAGAGAGCCTAGACTCTCACAATCCAGGAGCCTGCAGAGCCAGCTGCCTGGGTAGTCTGCAAGGGATCAGCTTGCAGCAGACACACAGATTGCAGGATTTCCAAACTCTCAGCTCCCCTTCAGACCATCAAGCAGGACCTCAAAATCTTCAGAAGTCTGCAATTTGTGAAGTTGGTAAACTCAGGAAATGAGCTCTCTGCGTTTGAACTGTCCTCAGATCTGCAGTGCGTGGGGATGGTAGTCCCCAACCTGGCAATCCCAGAAATTCTGAACAGCCCTTCCCTTAAACTGGCACAATTAATTTAAATCTGCCAGTCTCTCATCAAAAGACAACATCAACATTGCTTTAAAATAAATAAATACGTACATAAATAAATAATCAACTTTTAAAATATATTAGACGTGTCTTACCTTTGCAGTTAACTGTCACATTAACTTCACATTCAGTTGAATTTCTCCAACACAACATTACAGATGTGTTGGTACAATTCGTAACGTTGAAAGAATTCTTGCTGCTGTCTGAAAAGGATTAATATTATATGTCACTGTGACACTGGCTATATTGATTCTTTAAATAGCAGTTTGTTCTTTTATATTTGTTGACTTGTTCTGCAATATAAAGATACAATTGGCACAGTATACTATGCAAAGAAGTTAACAAGAAATGGAAAAGTAAAAATTGAAAAAACCTACAGGAGATAAAGACAATGCTGGTGTTCAAATTATAAATGAAACTTTTAATCCAACAACCTCTTTAGTGAACAAAACATCCAGCATAAATAGGAGGTTTCAAGTGCTGGTTGGTTTGCTATTGCTAACCATTCTGCATATGGCTAATGTAGTTAAAATTACCTTTTTTTCTTTACAAAGAGAAAATTACATTTTTTTACATCCTACTTTAAGAAAACACTGAGAGGTTTTAAGGTGCAACTTCAAAATGCAAAATATCTTACAAATCAAGCACAACATATGAAAACTTCCTGTCTGATTCTCTGAAAAGGACAAGAATAGACTAAGACATCCAGGAAAGCTGAATTACTGCATGTCAAAAGAAACAAAAAAAAAAAAAAAAAAAAAAAAAAAAAAAAAGAATAACTACAAAAAAAAAAAAAAAAAAAAAAAAAAAAAAAAAAAAAAGAAGAAACTACTAAAACCCTTCTATACCTACCAGGTGGAATAATAAGATATTTGTCCATGCAATTTGGAACACTAACTGTGTATTTCTGGCATCTCTGAAGTTTTATTTTGCTGGAATCCGCCGTTAAGGTCTTGTTAGCCCCCACAATAAAATAGGTTCTGTTTTTTCTGAGATTTTGCAATGTAACTTCAACTGTGTTATACTCGTCTCCTGCACGTGTTATGTTGTAGTCAATATCACCATCTAAAACAAAAAGATAAAATAGCAAACAATGATTTTTTGACAATTTTTAAGAACCATTAAATGTTTTATGGCACCCCCAGCACTTTATGCGTTTTAAGAATCAGAAAATACAACAAAATTAGCTGCTTTGTATTCTTTAGTTTTATTTTTTATTTATCTTTTACTTTAAAAAATTGTTTAGTTAAAACAGAAAACTTCCTTAGGAAAAAATTCTTTTAAATAATTCTCTAGTTAGGAAAATGGAAGAATTAAAAAGATGAACATTCCAGAACCAGATTTGCTTTAACTTAAAATGTCAGTTCAAAGTGAAATACTTTGTTTTGACACACTGTATCATTTGTTTGAACAACAATTTCAAATTTTCTTATTCAAAGCATTTCATAACCATCTAGTAAATAATGGCTATAGTCTATTCCTGAAAATTAGCAAGAAGAGGTCTCTAATTCTGAAGAGAGATAAACAAATGTTCAAACTTTAGTTTTACTTTAGTTATGAATTGCAGTTTGCAGCATGTGATTATCAGCATGATGGGGAAAAATTAGAGAGGGACTAGTGGAATGAAGGCAGATCTTTTCTGCAGCCCTGATATCAACAGCATAGTACAGGGCAATTTAACAGAACTGTAAATGGAGATGATGAGACCAGAAATGTTAATAACTTTAATCCTACTCTTCCAGAATTGGAAGACAGTTTATAAAATAACATGAGATGCTACCTGATCAGTTTTCTGTATTTGAGTTTACTGATTGGGTCAAATTTCAGGACTGAGAAAAATAAGAGGTTTGGTTCTTACCACAAGGTTCTCCAGTTGGCGTTGTGGAAGCTTCTACAAGAAAAGAAAACAAAATGAAGGTGTAGCTCAGCAGGTTTGGGTTTCTTTCACAGAGCACTGGAGGAGGGTGACTGGTACTGCCCAAAACTCTTCATTCAATATGTTCAGTACAAGTAATTGTACTTAGCACTCCACTCACGTTTGAAAAAGGGAAGAAAACATCAGCTACATATAACCCCATTTTTTAACTAGTTATTTTAGGGATCATGTGTCTTTCATCATTTTTCAATTACATCACTGACTACAAACCAAACTGGTTATTCTGCATACAAAATTACACAAGAATATTCCAAAATCACACATTCTCATAGCAGTATGGTAAGCTATAGCAGTTTCCCAGGATACGTACACTGTGGAATGGCTAACTGAACAGGATCCAATGTCACTAAAGAAACAAAATTTACCTACTTTTTGCACAGCTACTCTCACCTTTGGAAAGAGATTTATGCAACAGTACAGATCGTTTTACAACTATTTTTACACTTAAATACCCAAAAGAAATTACGAGCTGGTATTTAGAAAACCTGTATGGAAGCTTGAGCAAAAAAACTTCATCCTCAAAACAATTACTTAAAATATCCCTCCAGGCTGGGAGTAATCTAGCTGAGTAGTGCACCCTAATGAGAGGGTAAACTGACAGGGCCTACTGGAGAGTTACCAAGATGGTTAGGGGCAGACGACCCACGAGTAAAAGCTAAGCTTAGTCTCTCAAAGAGCTAATATGAGCCTACAGCTACTTGAAGGGCAGTTACAAAGGTGGTAGGAATGCAATTACTGGATGTACTTTGCTCAAGCACACACATATATTTTACTGACCTGAGTAATTCCTTACAGCACAATTGCAATAATAATGTATGTAAGTGCTTGCAATATTGGATTCCAAGAAGACATTAATACTGAGTGAAACAAAAGGGAAGCCACCGGAAAACAGAGAAGCACACAGATCTGTGGATATATTCAAACTTTTTTGCTGCTTGGATGAATTTCTGTGAATATCAAGAGGAGTACTGACACGGTAACTGACAGATTTACCCTCCTACTATGCCACTGTGTGGAAATAACTTCTATTTTCCACTTGCTTGACAAGTAGCAAATCTGGTATCTTTAATATTACTCATAAACTATTAATACGAGTCCTAAAAACACCCTTAAGTTTAATGCAGTTGTATGCCTAATTTGTATGCTTAAGTTTGATAAAAGAAATTCAGAATGAACTCCCTCATTCTAACACATCCTCTGTGCTTGCAGTACCATAATTGCGATAACTGTGTGCAAGTTTGTCACCTATTGTGCGAGTGAGGGTGGTCCCAGTGTTTGCTGGCATGCTGGCTGGTGAGATGGTACTGTGCAAGGATGCTGAATTGTAATCATCTGCAAGGAAATAAACAACGTATCAGCATTCAAAGGTAAAATTCATTATTTCATATGGCTACGTCATCAGAAATGCCTTACACTACAGCCCTTCTCCGCTTTTTTTTTTTTTTTTTTGTTCCGGATTTTTGTAATTTCGAGAAGAGTGCTGAAAGAAAAATCCTGTTAATATATCCAATAGAACAGAAAATGAGTATTTAAATAGAAAGCAAACCTTTAGGAATATACCACTTACTAATGAGTTTTGCAATGTACAAGGACAATTTATTTTTGTCATTATTTAGGTATATTCCAGGATGGAGTCAACTTAAAAATGGTGTTAATAGGAAAAAACTAAAACATTTTGCTATGTTCTTACAGTAAAACACAATTATGAACAGTGCTTGTGCTCTTTCAGAAACAAGCACTCCAGCAGCGTTCATTTGCCAGATCATATACCTTGCTCACTATAGTATTTACTATATCTCAGTATTTATCTCCCCGCTTATAAACCACTGACAGGTTTCTACATTCTCTTTTAGGTCCATTCCTATTGCTCTTGCTTTGGCAACAGCCTCCTTAACAGCAGCTGGCATTTTGATACTACTATGATGACTACGAGACTTGGCCATCAGATACCAAATCCTGGAAATTACTCTGGTATTGCCACTATGCCAAATTGCAGATACCTTTTCTATTTGATGAACCACAAGCTGGAAAAGGCAACCCTGAGGCTGAATTACTTTGTTTCCCCTACAGTAATCGTTTAGTTTTTCCCCGCAGTTCAGAGAGCAGTGAGTGGCATCTAAAGGAAGACAGCAAACCTGATGAAGCATTCTTGAAGGCAATGGGAGTGCATGTGGTGAGGGCAGCAGTGCTGCTGTGTGGTGGGTTGCTGAGTCCCATGGCAGGGACGGAGCCTGCGTGCGTGGAGAGGTATGTGCTGTCTGCAGGAGAGACACCTGTGGTGAGAGGTACAGTTTCATTAACGCTTTGGAGGCTGCCCGGTCAAGGAGGGACGCAAAGCTGCACACAACACAGGACTGCTGTGCTGGAGTGCTCTCACATGAAGCGCTGTGAATTTATTAGTAAGCAAAGGCACACCGAATGCTCAAGTTGTTAGGGGGTCCAACAGGTATCAGCTGAACATCCAGTAAGTATAATCCTTTTTGGCGCTGACTGCACCTCTTTCATGCTAAACGTTGTGTTTTAAAATTTACTCAAATTCATGACTCAAACACAGACTTCGCTCATATTCTGCCTTCTTAAGACAGCGTATTTAATTTCATTGGGCTCAATGAAAAGGCATTACACACTCTGTGAGATAACTGCGCAGGAAAAGGAAAGAAGAAATGATCAGAAAAAAAATCAATGCAGTTCTGTCATCTAAATTAGAAGTTTCTTACCAGGTATAGTTGTTGCTGACTCATCTCCTTAAAAACAGAAAGAGAAAGTGTAAATTAAACTTTCAAGGAATTAAACACAATCATATGCCAAAAATATAAAAAGAAACATTCTTTCCTCCCAACTGTCAGCTGAGCTTTCCCCAGGGAATTACACATTCTTAAGTAATATTTAGTGGCATATAGCAACAACCACACCCCCAAAATATCAAGCATATGATATGTGGACTGATATTGTCTACATTAAAAATCCCTTTTCCTTGAGCCAGGAGCCTGTGCTGTGCAGCCTGAGGGGTGGAGATAGCATCAGGAAGGCTGCGGTGGATGCCGGTTCAGCTGAAACAGGAGAAGAGCAGCAGTGCCGCAGTCCCGAATTCACCATTACCTTCAGCAGTGCCTGGAGGTGAGAGTGATGTGGAGTGTGCAGGTTGAGGTGACACAGGGAAGGGAGAGCTGGTGTCTTCCAGTTTTTCATCTCCTGATGCACAGTGGGGAAAAAATATCATCAGGTGAACAATGCGTGAAAGTGAGAAGCTCCTTGCAAGCAGAAAGGCTGCCAGGTGCTCTCTGAATCATATTTCTCCCTCCAGCACTGGCAAAAAGAACACATTTTCACTGCTTTCCAGTTCCTGCACAGGCTGTGCAACACATCTGATTGGATATATTGCAAGAGCATGGCTTACAATTAGGTCTGCAAGACCACTAATTCCAAATTCCCACCAATTTGTCCAGGATGCCTTTGTGGCGAAGAAATTTGATCATCCTTTAGCAAGGTGTGGGGGATGCACTGATATCAGGTGTTTGAGAACACCAGCTGAAGGGGGTGAACTAATGTACAGCTTGCAAAAAGCCCAGACCGATTGGGGTGGTTTTGTTTTGTGTTGTTGACCCAGGAAGGACCCTCTTCCCACAATCATCAGATACTGCTGTGGTGCCCGAGGAGCTCTGCATGAATTGCAGGAAAGTGCCACTGTGACAATTCAGCATGAAACTCTCATCCAAAGGTGTCCAAAGGTGTCCATAAGGAAAACATGGACTCATAACAGCAACATGTTATAGCCTGAATTCTAATCGCTTTCTTCAAAAAGCATGTTTCAAATCCCCACCTTTGAGTTAATTAAAATAAAAAACCTAAATATGTCCTCATCACATTAACAAATTTTGCTGTAATTTAATTGACCTCAGACAACATAAATCACCAGATTGCTTTAACAGTGATGGAGTTAACCAATGTATGATAGAAGTAGATGCCAGTTCAGCCAAAACAGAAGAGCAGCAATGCTGCAGTCCTGAATTCACCGTTACCTTCAGTGATGCCTGGAGGTGAGAGTGATGTGGAGCGTGCAGGTGGAGGTGACACAGGGGAGGGAGAGCTGGCAGTTGCCAGATTTTCATCTCCTGCTGCACAGTGGGGAAAGATATCATCAGGTGAGCAATGCATGAAGGTGAGAAGTTCATCTATAGTAGAAAAAGGCCAATGGTTTGTACGGCTTTCTCTGAACTACGTTTCTCAAGACAGATTTGACTGGGGGATACTTAAATGTTTTCATGTTTAACAATGTATTTTGCAATACCAAAAGCTAAAACCCTCAAAATATTTTGCATCACCACACAGCAGTGTATACGAGGACATGCAATATCAACAAATAGAGGGTAACTTTTCACTGAATGAAGAATGACTTTATTCCTAAGAAGAGATACCAACGCTAATTCTGTTGTCAAGAAAAATCCTACCTGTCTATAATCCTCACTATACAAGAGCTGGAAAGCCAAGCCTCAGTATTCCTGAAAGCTGTTTACTCTCCCTGTTATTAACTTCTAAATGGCAGCGCCCTTCCTGGACCATCCTGCTGATATTTAAGAATCTCTCCAAATAACTCTTATCTCCAGGTTATAAATTACCTCCTGACTTGAGCTGGGAGCTATAATCTTTTCACACCTATAAAAACAAGCCTCATTTTTACACTCTTTGAAATCCTGACCCAAAACCTTTTGTATTTGTGTAATGTAAAATTTCTGTTGTGAGAGGGAGAGACAAAAATAAATAGCAATGGCTGGAACCATGAGCTTGTTCTCATCGCTATATCTTTTACTCATTTTGAGGATTAGAAGCTTCCCCTTTGACAGAAGAATCCTGAAAGCTATCCCAAAAGTATGCCTGTTCCCTCAAGACATCTCTAACACAGCCTGCTATGCTTTCAGCAAGGAACCAACTTCCACTTATTCACACATTCCTTGTTGTGACTGTCCGCAAACTTTCATCCACCCGTTTGGCTCTTCCTTTCTCCCCCTTTTTCTACTACTTCTTTCCCACTATGTTTCTTTCCTGGTCTGGGGTTTTTTTGGGTTTTTTTTGGCATGCGTGTTTTTCAGATAGTACTTTACTGTTTACAATTTCTGTGTTACTTCAGCTTCCCTACATGGTACTTCACAACTGTTGTAACTCTACTCTTTTGAAAACAAACCCCTTCAATCCTTAAAACAAAAATCCAGGTTTCTGTGAAAAACTGCAATACTTATGAAGGTTACATGTTCTGTTGCCCTGTTCATGTGCCAGGATCAAAACCATGTCTCTCATCTCTGACACAGAAGCTCAACACAGGCAGATCTCCCAGGACTCCAAAGATTTTCTCCATATCGACCCAACAAGCAGCAGCACACATGTTGGCTGTTCAATAGCCACCATGGACTCTGCACCATATGGACAGTTCAGAAGACTGACAACAGCCATTAAAAAACCACGACCAGTGACAACAAAGTCACCTGTGGAAAGTGAGCAATTTCTTTATGCTCAGAACTGTCATGAAATGTGCACAAACCATGTATAAAAATTAATGTAAACAAAAGCTGAAATCTTGTAAGTACTTTGCTAGTGAGCAGTTGAATTCATTGTGGACTGTACATTATTCAAGATCTCTTCCTACAAACTAAAATTTGGAAAAAGCCAGTAGTCTGATATTTTAAAGAAAAAGTATCAACAGAAGTCAAATGAAGCTCAGCTAAAAATAGTAATGCAGAGCTAGCTACTTTGTTCTTCATTTAGAGAAGTGGGGAGGTGTGTTGCCTAAAATCTGGTCCATGAGATGAGGATATGGGCCTGCCTCTAGTTTGTCTGAAATCATATGAAACTATGAAAATAAAATTTCTCTTAATTGTAAGAATATAATCTGTAAAAAATCTAGTAGACTGACAACAGACTGAATAACACAGGTTTAGAAGCCACTATATTAACAGCTCTAGTATGTTAACCCATTTACCTATATATATCTCTACTGAAACACAGGACCACATATATTTTTTAGAGCTACAGAATGACAGCAGATGAAGCTTCCTAACCTGAGAGATGTTACAGAGAAGAAACAAAACCACAAATGATCTTTTGAATTATCAATGTATCTTCAGCATCTGAAATCTTCGGTAAGGACTGGAACATTTATTAACAGCAATTGTATAATCTAACTGTATACATTAAACTGTCAAGGAATCTTGTAAAAGCTAAAACGTATATTGATTCATATTTCCCATGAGCAATTAATTTTCAATGTATCTTCATGTTTTTTTTAAATTCGGTGTTTGAAAGCAGGCAGTTGGTCACTCTAAATTCCATAATGTGATTTTTTTTTTTTCTTCAACTGGCTTATCAGCTGAAGAATCAATTATTCCCCCTCCTTCCCAAATTGTACTTCGGTTCGGCACATTAAATATACCTCAAGCCCAAAATTAACTTTCTGTGAGCATCTACACAGATCAACTTTCACTTAAATAACTGTTTCCAAGAAAAGAATAAAAGGAATTGCAGAAAAAGTCCTAAATGAAACTCTGCTCAGAGATTAGTGAAACATTTAGAAATACTTTTCAAGCTATTTACTGATCTCTAATGCAAACATGATGGAAACAAAAATATATACTTCAAGATTCCCTCTTCTAAGTGAAGTAAGATCATATGACCAACAGAGGGCTCATAAGGTTGTCACAGTTGTATTTCTGGTTGCCTCATTTACTTCCTTAGAATTCCTGTGAAAGTAATTTTCCCCATCCTCTCCCTTGCAAAGTTAGGAATAATGCTACTACCTTAAATATAGCATGAGGTTTATTGCTCACTCACGGTAACAGATGCTAAATATTACACACAATCATAGAACTGAAGGTTGGAAGCAAGCTCAAGAGATTGTATAGTCCAACTACCCTGCTCAGGCCAGTGTCAACTAGAGCAGATCGCTTCTTAAAACAGTTTGGAAAATAGTAGTCCTAGATTGCCCTTTTTTCCCCTCTAAATAAGCACTGGCATTTTAACAGAATTTCATGGCAGTTTTATGCCCTTCTAAGCATTTTAAAGGTCTCCTGTTCTTCTATGATTCTATTTATTTGTTTTATTATAGCAATGGAATAGGATGCAGTTGAAAAGAATTCAATAGGTGGCACCAGAACACTAAAAAACTCCCCTCCAACAGTAAGGCAGATACATTTCCCCATATAACCTTACTGAGAGATACTAGGTAAACTGAAGGAAAATAAAGAAGGATCCAAACACACCAGACTGTATTAGTCCAATATTAAATAGGCATATTGCTACAATGAATTTATGTTTCCCAAAGTCTTCCACAGCTAACAAATATGTTTGAGCTAACCTCAGGTTAACAAAGCTAACCTCGAAGTCAAAACTTTCTGTTCATGTTTACATTTTAAAACATATCTCTGGAATCTTGGAGGCTGAAATCTAAGAATTTCTTTAAAATTTAATAAGGATGTCCAATCCCAAAAAAACATGCTGTGCGGTATGAAAGCCTGATGATTACCAAACTAAGCAAGTTGGTCTGGATTTAAATAGGAACTATCCCAAACCTTTTCTCAAATCTTAAACTGCATCCAGCCATAAGACATTTTTAAGATAACATGTGTAGCATAGGCTCAGATAACCCAAGTGGAAGAATTAAAGTATACAAAAAGTTCCTACTACTGAAGGAACTTTTCTAAGCTTCCCTTTCCCTTCTCTTGATT